TACTTTTTTTTTAACTTCTGGCATTGATGATGTTAGAAAACTAGCACAGCCCATTAGTAAAAGTCTTATTGGGATGAGGGCCAGTAAGGATAATTCAGGACTAAAGTATTCTGAGGTATATATTTGGAGAATTTTATACCCTTGGATTAAAAAAAAAAAATCTCAACAGCTTGCTCCATGCTGACAACAAATCTCTAAGGAAGCCCTAAGGGGAAAATGGAAGATTCCTCCTAGAAGGGAATACTTTTTTTTTTTTTTAAGATTTATTTATTTACTTGAAAGTCAGAGTTACACAGAGAGAAGGGGAGGCAGAGAGAGAGGTCTTCCATCCGCTGGTTCACTCCCTAATTGGCTACAACATCCAGAGCTGGGCCGATCCGAAGCCAGGAGCCAGGAGCCTCTTCCGGGTCTCCCACGTGGGTCAGGGGCCCAAGGACTGGGGCCATCTCCTTTCCCAGGCCATACCAGAGAGCTGGATTGGGAGTGGCGTAGCCGGGACGCGAAAGGGCACCCATAGGGATGCCAGTACTGCAGGTGGCTTTGCCCGCTACGCCTCAGCGCCAGCCCCAAAGGGAATACTTACTAAGGGAACACGTTTTCAGAGAGGCTTCAAGCTCTCAGTGTGTCACGCATTGCAGCACAGAACAATTTCCAATGACCTACTTTAGAGGAAGTCAGTGTGATGTTTTCCAGATTTCCCCCTAGGCTTCTTATGCCTTTTATGACACTACCATTTTCTTGTTTCTGCTCTTAAGCCTCCATGAATGTACCCTAAAAATACCCGGAAAAGCCCAAGCCCAAAGAGGACAAGACCAAGCCACGAGCAGCAGGCCAGCACTCAGAGCACAGACACCAGTGGGCTCAGGCGGGGAGGACCACTTTGCTGAGTCTCAGGAAGGCAGCAAAGGGCAGCTGGCAGCTGACCAGACAGCTGACCAAAACCGAGGTACCGTGACGGAAGTTTTACAAAGTAAACAAGATGCCAATGTAAAATTAACGTTAAGAGCAGTGTGGGGGCCAGCGTTGTGGCATAGCAGGTAAAGCTGCTGCCTGCAGTGCCGGCATCCCATATGGGCGCCAGTTCAGGTCCCGGCTGCTCCACTTCCTATCCAGCTCTCTGCTGTGGCCTGGGAAAGCAGTAGAAGATGGTCCAAGTCCTTGGGCCCCTGCACCCACGTGGGAGACCCGGAAGAAGCTCCTGGCTTTGGATTGGCGCAGCTCTGGCCGTTGTGGCCAATTGGGGAGTGCATCAGCAGATGGAAGACCTCTCTGTCTCTACTATCTCTCTCTCTCTCTCTGCCTCTCCTTCTCTCTCTAACTCTGACTTTCAAATAAATACATCTTTAAAAAAAAAAAAAAAGCAGTGTGAAGAAGAGGTGAGGACGCAGCTGCTTCCCCTTTCCCACCCCCACCCCTCCGTTATCGTGCCCAAGGGAAGGCTGAAGGGGCTGCTAAGGGGGCTAAGGCCAAGGTGAAGGAGGAGCCACAGAGAAGCCCTGCAGGGTTATCTGCTGACCTGGCTCCTCTAAAGCCAGATCCTAAGCCGAAGGCCCCAGTGAATGGGAGAGAAGGGAAGAGGGAGCAGCTGCCACTGGCAGGAGAATAACCCTGCAGAAACCAGACAGGACACTGCAGGTGCCCAGGGAAGGGCGTCCTTCTAAGATCGTCACAAAACACACCAAACACCGGAGTAAGGCAAAGGGTTTACTGGGGAAACCCAGCAGGCTGGAGGGAAGGGGCGAAGTAGGAAAAAGAGAAGGAGAGTGTAACAGAGAGGAGAAAGGGAGGAGCTAGCGAGGAGAGGAGAGAGAGAGAGAGAGAGAGAGCAGGAAAGAGGAGGCTAGAGAGGAGAGGGGAGAGGAGCGAGAGAGAGGAGGAGCAAAGAGAGGGGATCAAGAGAGAAGCCGAGAGAGCAGAGAGACAGCGAGAGAGAGAGCGAGAGAGAAGCAAGAGAAGAGAGTGGGCAAGAGAGAGCGAGGAGAGAAGAGAGCCGCGTGTTCAGGAACAGGTCCTTTTAAAACTTTGCCAGAGGGCGGGCAGGGAAGCAGGAGCAGCGAATCCCATTAGGATGGGGGTGGAGCTTGACACTGGTGGTTGGGCCACATTGCCACCTGGCTTCCAGCAATGGCGGTGGGGGGCTAGAGCCTCGGATAGTGTCAGGGTGTAGATCGCGCCATAGATACAACTGCACCATTTTCCTAACAGTCCTTTGTTGGTAAATGTATACTTTTTGGAACTATGCAGCTTGAAATACTATTTTTAATCAAGTTTTATAAAAATGCAGGACTTTATGTGAGCTATGTTGTTAGCACAGAACCCTTCATTCTTGTTTTGGGGGAAGGAGCACCGGTCACTAACAGAAGGTCTCAAGAGGCTTCTCCCTGCCCCTGACACACAGCCACCATGGCCCAATGTCTCATGGCATTGAGAAGCTAAATTCAATTTCACGTCCTCTGGCCTCTTCCTCCTCCCTGGTTGCCTTCAGCATGGACTTAACTCCTTTACATCCAGAGACCTCTTGAATCCCAACCCCCCCAAAACTTGTGACCAGAATGACAGACAATCTGGACATCACCGTGACACCACAGAGATGGCCCCTTTAAGGAGCCACAGTTCCTTTTCCAGATTGTGGATCTTCAGATAATTCTACCACCTCATTCCATTTCCTGCAAGTCAGTGTCGATTTGTGCAACGTTGTTGAACACGCTAGATGTGAAATGTCCACTCTCTAAACTCTGCCTGTTCGCAGCATCAGATAAAGACTTCATTGGGTTTTACAGTGGCTTTCAGACTTGGCAGTCCACTGAGGAAGGGAGTGTGACAGTTGCATACATTTTTGTTTGTTCTGTGCAGGTTTTTTTTTTAGAATTTATTTACTTGAAAGGCAAAATTACAAAGAGGGAGAGAGGGAGAGATCTTTCACCTGCTGGTTCGTTCCCCAAATGGCCACAATGGCCAGCACTGGGCCAGGCTAAAGCCAGGAGCCAGGAGCCAGGAGCTTCATCCAGGTCTCCTGCATAGGTAGCAGGGGCCCAAGCACTTGTGCCATCTTACGCTGCTTTCCCAGGTGCATTAGCAGGGAGCTAGATCGGAAGTGGAGCAGCCAGAACTTACACTGCTCCTATGGGATGCTGGCCCCCAATTATTGTCCACTGTTAACAATTTTCTGCCGGTGTCCCTGCTGAAATATCGATTGTTTATGAAAGGAATTTTAATACAGCTGGACACAGTTTGTCTCGGAAAAAATAAAATTAATGTTAAGACTATGATTCACAAATTGGCTGAACTGCTAAGCGGTACTATTTAATTAAATCAACATAATTAGCGTGGCTAGTAAGTAAGAGAGGTGACTAACACCTGGGGAGAGGTGGAGCAGGTTCCGCCGCCCAGCAGTGTGGGGACAAATGGCCCGGGTGCTTGTCCAAGCACCATCTCCAGCAGCCGGAGGTGCTGCTTAGCAGTTTTAGAGGCTGCTCCTCCGCCTGCAGGGTGGGGTCGCTGAGAGTTGGGGGCGAGTGTGCTGTGTCTGTGGGAGGGTTAGCAGCACTCCAGGTCCAGACAGCAGCAGGGCCTCTCCCCTGCGCTTCCCAGACGCCCCTGGGGGCAGAGCCACTCCCCTCCTTTGCATGTCCCTTAGTCCTGGGACACTGGGTGATCCTAACCAGTGCGGTTGGTGGCTGCATTTGAACCAGAGCGGACTCCCAGAGCCTAGCACCTCAAAGTCTGATCTCGTCAGCGAACTGAGCAGGTGCAGGCTTAGCCAACCGTGGTACAGTGGGCGCCCAGTCCACTCCGCCTGGTGTCTTCTGGAAAGGGGCACGTCTGCACAACAAGCAAGGACACAGTGTAGACTGGACGCGTGGCCACACGCCAGGCACCATCCCGGGCTGGGCAGGGGCGTGGCCCTGTCTCCTCTGAGCTCAAACCACAAGCCAGGCAACCTCCCAGGGCCGGGCAGAGGTGGGCAGCCTGGCCCGCCGCGCTCTGGGCGCTCAGCCGCCAGAGCGCAGACCACCTGCTTCTGCCGTTTAAGCCACGGTCTGCGGGACGGCGATGCGGTCTTGGCGCACTGCTAACAGTGACGAGAAACACGGCACACAGCGGAGCCCTGGAGTTCAGGAGGTGGGTGCGCGAGGCGGGATCGGGGACAGTGATGCCAACATGGCAGACTGGCCCCATCTCCCGGTTCATTTCTCAAGGCCCACGCGAAGCAGGCACTCAGGACGCTGGTGCTCTCATTTTGAAGCACTCTGCGACCAGACTTTGGAACTTGCGGCCTGAAAAGGCCGACACGACCCGCAGTTCCGTCTCCCGGTTTCGGCCCGCGCCCCACAGGGGCTGGGCACACCGCGTGGCCGCACGCAATTCGGCCCCTCCGGCCTTAGGAGCCGCGGGCGCGTTTCCGGCCACAGCGGCGCCGGCCAGAGCGGGCTGAGTCCCGCGCGCCCGCCCCGGCCCGGGGGGCGCGCAGGTGCGAGCGGCGGCCGGCCCCGTCTCCTCAGGAAAAGCCACAAGCGGGCGGCTTCGTTCTGCCCGGACTCGGCCATGTTGGGGGGTGGGGACCAAGACGCCCCCGCCTCCGGGGGACGCTCCCTGGCAGCCGGTTTTCCTGAGGCGGGGAAGCCGCGGTAAATCCGGGGACACGCGCTCCCGCGGGCGTCGGCGAGGAGGGCGTCACAGTCACCCCCGCGCGCGCGCCGCCGCCCTCAGGGCCAGGCACGGGCGGTCAGCCCGGGGCAGGCGCGGGCCGCGAGTCCCGTGGCGCGGGGGCCTCCCGCCTCGAGGCCCGGGCCTGCGGAGGCGCCGCACCGGCTGGGGCGCCCGCCGCGATCACCCTGCGCCGACCCCGCAGCGCCGCGGAGCCCGCCGAGCCGACGGGGAGGGGCGGGGCCGGGGGCGGGGCCGGGGCGGGGCCTCCCGACGGCCGCCTGTGATTCGCCGCCGGCGGCGGGCCGGAAGCGGGCCGGGGGCGCCGGCGGCGCGGCGCACGTGGTGACGTGCGCGGAGGCGCGGCGGCGGCAGTGTCGGCGGACGCGCGCGGAGGTCGGTCGGTCGGTCGTGCGGACTGCGAGGCGCGGCGCTGCGGCGAGAGAGGAGCGCGCGAGCAGGCTCCCGCGAGCTCCGGTGGCGCCGTCTCCCCTGGCCGCGCGGACGGGCCGCTGCGTCCTGCGCCGCCTCGACCTCCGCTGGGCCGCTTCCCGCCCGCTGCCTCCTGCCCGCCGCGGCCCCAGAGATGCACTTCGCCGTCTCCTCAGACATGAGCCAGGTAACGCGCGGGGCGCCGGCGCGCCCCCCGAGGCCGCCGGTCCCGCCGGAGTGGGCGGCGCCGCGGGCCTTTGTTCCCGCTCCACGTTGCCCGCGTCTCCGGCCCGGCGCGGCGCGGGGCGGGGCGGCGCTGAGTGACTGCGGGGCCCGCCAATGGCGCGCGCGCGCGCGGCGGGCTTCGCCGCCTGGCCCGGAGGTCCGAGGACGGCCCCGCAGCCCGCGCGGGGCGCAGACGCGGCGGGCGGGCGGGCCGGGGACGGTGACGGTGACGCCGGCCTCGGGGGAGCCGCGGCCGGGGCGCGCCGTGCGCGGTGACCTCGGTCGGCGGCGAGGGCCGCGTCGTCCTGCGGTCACTGCGCCCCGGTAGTGGGCGGTGAGGGAACAGCTCCGGGCTCGGCCGGCGCCGTGGACGCGGGTGTAGTGTGGGAGTGGGAGCGAGCGCGCGTGGGCCGCTGGCCTCCGCCTTCCGCCGATGGGCGCAGCCGGTAGGTACGGGTCTCGGTGGCCATTGTTCGCGGTGCGGGTCTGCCTTGCTAACCCTCTCCCGCCCGAGACCGAGCGCTTCGGTTTCCACCGTGGTTCGGAGGTAGCGTCTTGAATGACTTGCTGTTGGAAGGAGAGGCTTTGTTTCTTACTTGGGTATTTGAAGGGGTAAGTTTTGAATTATTTTCCTGTTAGGGAAATCTTTCCGTCTTTGAGACTGCGATGACGTCCCTCTGAAGTGCCCCGGCTGTGTGACCTGCCGCCACACCCCGCAGCTAGGAGGTCCTGCACCTGCCGCGGCGCGTGGACGGAGGGGCTACGGGAGCGTGGTTTCTGGGCTTTGTTAGCACCCCCGGAAACGCATGCGTGTCTGAACTTGTTCACTGTGTTACCACCTTGCACAGGCTTCTAGGCCTACCCCTCGGTCAGTATTGGCCCATTTTCGATAGCACCCCGATGAGCAGCAGCTGTCTCAGTGTTAAATGTCCCAAACTAAATTCTTGCTTTCCTTCCTTGTCTGTGATGCTTCCTGAAATTCTTACTGTCGGTAAGAGTCTTCCCGGGCCTGCTTAGGGGCCAAACGCCAGTGTGCACCATCTTCATGGTTTGCCCGTCTCCCTGTTCTTGCCCGCGGGCCCCCAGGCTTGTTTCTCTAGCGTGCCCCATGCTTCCTTGTTAACGTTCTTCATCTGCTGTGGGTGCTTGGCGTTGTGTAAACCTTAGAATTGGTCTCTTACTTCCCCTCCCACAGTTTGCAAGTCTACACTCTTGAAATCAGAGAGCTGCAGTTTCTGGAATTCGTGTGCTGTCATACCATTTCCCCCCTTTTGTCCCAGCTTTTTTTGCTGCTTAGTTTATCTGTCCTCCTGGCTGGTAAATAAAGTGTTCAAGGCTGGGGAATTAACTCCATTGTGTTAGGAGCATTCCTTTCCAGTTTGTGCCTGCTGTGTTTGGTTCCGCAATGTTAGTGCTGTAATGAAAGAATTACAGCACTATGAGATTAAAGGCGTGGAGCAAGTGAGTGAGTTTTGGTGTGGATTATGGTGCTAGTGGCTTTAGAAGTGATGTTGGGACTGGTTTTGAAAAGCTCTGTTGCTTTTTGTGTTGTTTACTACCCTTAAAGGGTTGCCTTTAAGCTGAAATATTTGTTAACTTGCCTTGGGGTTTGAGGATACATTAGAAGTTTGGTGATAAGGTTTTATGTAGCTCTTGCTGAAGCCAGAGAATTTTGGAGAGGCCATACTGTGCCTGTCCTTTTCACAGCTGGAGGACCTGTTGAATTGTGTTTCGTGAAGGTAATCTTTGCGGGCTGTGATAACTTATGAACTTATGGGTGTTACTAAAGCAGTGTAATTACTCATTTGTGAATCTCCTCCCTTTCTTGGACTGGCCATACTAAGGAAGTGAAATACATTTTCTTAATCAGAATATGTTGTGTTTGACCCTAGTTCTGTTTTTTAAATGGATCAGTTAAAAGTGTATTTTAAACACCAAGTAAAATTCCAAGTTTTTTTTTCTAAGATTTATTTACTTGAAAGGCATAGTCACCAAGAGAAGGACAGAGAGAGAGAGAGATTGAGATTTATCTTCCATCCACTGGTGTACTTCCCAAAGGACCACAACCACCAGGGCCTGGCCAGACTGAAGCCAGGAGGAGCTTCATCCAGGTTTCCCACATGGGTGCAGGAACCCAAGTACTTGGGCCGGCTTCTTCTGCCTTCCCAGGCAGCTTAGCTGAATTGATAGTGGAGCGGCCAGAACTGGAACCAGCGTCCATGTGGGATGTCGGCATTGCAGGTAGTGGTGTAACTTGTTACGCCACAACACTGGCCCCAAATTCTAAGTTTTAAACCCTTAATATGATTCCTGGATGTTTGGGCTTTTGATTTGGCCTTGCAAAGGAAAAAATTATTCCTTTTTTGTTGTTGTTGTTCCTTAAGTTATTGTGTTTGGGTTTCATGGACCAAGTAAGAGTTGTGAATTTGAGGAGGTAGTTTGAGGCTCTTGATTTACCCAAGCCTACTTTAAACATGAAAGTAAGTGTGGTCTTTTAAAAACAAGGTCACATTAGCTTAAATGTGATCTGAATTTGGGCTAGCTAGGGCCGTCCTAACCATAGATAATAAAGAGGTGAGGTTCATGCTAAGAACTTGATGCACTAAAAAGCAAGTGCTCCATTTGGACTCACTTTGTTGCAAAACTCCTAACAGTGTTGTACAATTTGTATGCCAAGAGTTGCTTCAAAGTTTCCAAAAGACTGTAGTATTTTTAGCCTATTTTCCCCCCAAGTTTAAGGTGGGGCATCCAGGTAATCAAACATATACAATGCCATTTTTTTGTTTAGATCAAGACAAGTTTATGAATAAAGCTAGTCAGTGTTTGAACTATTTAAATTTACATATTACAGGATTTTATTTGCTTTTCAAAGGATGCATTTTAATCATATCTGCATAATTTGAGGTTTCCTCCCATCCCTCTTGTTTTGAATGCATCTTAGGAAACTGGAGAGGAGCTTCCAGCCAAGCCTGTGAGTTGCCCCCCCCCACACACACCCAGTATACACCACAGATAAAAGATTTCCTTAGTTTGAGCCAACTGTTGGCTGAAAATGTTGGAAGGCTTTTTTAAACATAGTGTGTTCTCTGTATGCATGGTATTATGTGTATCTGGGAAAACATTTGTTTCTTAAAGCAAGCTGAATTAGCCAACCTAAATAAACATGTGGAACAGAGGAAATCAGTATTGCATGATGATATGGTAAGGTTTCGATGCAGGAGTGAATGTTAACAGCACTCCCAACCTGAGCTGGAATACTCAGGTTTCCTTAAAATGGGGATTATGGAAACACTAGTTGGGACGTGGGGACCCTGCACTCACTGACAGTGCACGTGTTGTACTTAGCACAGTAGGGTTGTTGAATTAATGCTGGATTGGCCTTCAGTAGAGTAAGGGTAATTATTCACTTTGACGTAATTATTAAAATTGTGAATTTGATTGTATAAAGCAAATCCAGGTAATTTTTAAGATGTCCATTTTTTAAATTGTGGGCATTATTTCAAGTAATTTTTTACTTAGTTCTAGTTTCCTGAGTTAGATTGTGTTGTAATAGCAGTTCAGATAATTAAAAAACTAACTCCCATCTGAATTCTGGAGTAACTGACAGGTGAAAATAACGGAGAGCAGCAGTTGGGTAGGAGGCTTGCTGACCCTGACTGGTGTTGCATTTCTCTTTAAGAAAAGTGAGGATGCAGAGTAGAGGCACTGTGTTTTCCTTTTTGTTTGTGGATGTTTAGGCTGGCTGTGGTAGGGGAAGTGGGGTGGATTGAAAGGTGAGCAGTCTTCCTGGGGCCCTGAAGATGAGCAGATACATTGAAGTACAGGGCAGACAAGCTGAAGGATGCCAGATACCTTTCATAGACGGGCCTGTATGTGGAGGATGGGGAGAAAGTACCCAACTGTGGGGGTTTGGCTGAGGCCCTGTGGTGGTAAGATTCCGTCTGGCAGAGGTTGGGTTAAGGGAGTTGCAAGTAGAGAGTAATTGAACAAAGGTACAGAAGCAGAACGTGCAGCATGTGTTCCGAGGAACAGTGTATTCCCATTTGGTTCAGTGCCTAAATGTGGTTTACTGACTCCTAAAAAAGCAGGTTTCAGGTGTGCCTATTGGTTGAATTCTAAAGAAGAAATTGAACAGTAAAGAATGTTAGACTTAACAGTATTTATGATTTTCTCTAATTCTTATGCTTGTATATACCACTTAGCAATAAATCATTCATTCCTTCCCTCTGGGGAAGTTTTTTTTTTTTTTTTTTTAAGATCATCAGATTAGTTGCAAGGCAAGTGAAAAGTGTTTTTGTGTAATTAGATTTGTTGGTTTTTAATGCAGTGTGAATATTTTGGTGTTTAAATCAAAAATCTCTTGAAGATGGGGAATTCTTTTGTATGTTGTATGTAGATTTGGTCTTCTCATTCTGAATATCTGACTTAGATTTGTCATTGTTTTAGATTATGATGCATCATTCTCACAGAAGAAATTCGTGTCTATAGCTTTTAAGGACTGATTACATCATTTCCAAGCCTGATAGTTTTGGAGTCACCTTTAGAGCTTGACACATCTGCCGTCACTTCAGCCACCTGTCTTCGCCTGAACCGTGACACAGTGCTGGGCATTGACACTCCTTTGTTTTTGGATTGTTTGCAGAAATACGGTTCTCATCACTGGAGCAGGCAAGTAAACTCAGTGCCCAGTAAGACATTTCTCTGAAGATTGTGCTGGGTACAGTAATAGCCTTTCATGATTTTTTAAAGGGCAGACAAGTCAGTACTCGTTTGAATATGAATATGAGAAATATTTCTGTTTACCCTGTCTATGACCTATGTTGACTTTAATTCAGTTACTGCAAACTGAAATCTCCTATTAATGCTCTTTATTGATACATTTTATGTAGTCACTTGTTTACAGGTAAAGGTTAAATGTGAAATTTTCTCGAACTTAAGTGTCTGTTATGTAATCCTAATAAAATGATTTGTAATAGAGGAAGCTCACTAAGGGAAAGATGTAAATTCATATTTACCTCAGATTTCAAAACATACTCAAAAAAAGTCATTTGGCAACAGTGACAGAACTTTTCAGACTTTCAAGTGTGTTTCTAGTTAAGGGAGGAAGAAGTTGGACAATTTCCCACATCCAAATCTTCATTATATATAAATTTGAAGGATAGAGTCACATTGAGGATTCTTCAAAGGAACTGAAAAGAGGTAGTTTTGGGGTCTCTGTCGTGTGTGTAAGGGAATACGACAGCCAAATCCAAGGAAATTGTATGATGTGATGGTTACTGCACGTCCTTCCAGCCTTTTGAGGCTGCTCATTACAAAGGCTTGAGCCAGGGCAGTTCCATTTCCTTTTTTTTTTTTTGACAGAGGAGTGGACTGTGAGAGAGAGAGAAAGGTCTTCCTTTGCCGTTGGTTCACCCTCCAATGGCTGGCGCACTGCGGCTGGCGAACCGCGCTGATCCGATGACCAGGTACTTATCCTGGTCTCCCATGGGGTGCAGGGCCCAAGCACTTGGGCCATCCTCCACTGCACTCCCGGGCCACAGCAGAGAGCTGGCCTGGAAGAGGAGCAACCGGGACAGAATCCAGCGCCCCGACCGGGACTAAAACCCGGAGTGCCGGCGCCGCTAGGCGGAGGATTAGCCTAGTGAGCCGTGGCGCCGGCCTTCCATTTCCTTCTGTTCATAATAAGCATGCTAACAGGCATAGAAGCCTGTCCTGAATTCTTGAGATAAACTGCTGCATGAATCCTTAAAAAGATTTATGACCAGGGGCCGGCGCTGTGGCACAGTAGATCCTCCACCTGTGGGGCCAGCATCTCATGGGCGCTGCTGCTTGTCCTGGTTGCTCCTCTTCCAATCCAGCTCTCTGCTATGGCCTGAGAAAGTAGTAGAAGATGGGCCAAGTGCTTGGGTCCCTGCACCCGTGTGGAAGACCTGGCTCCATAAAGAAGCTCCTGGCTTCGGATGGGCCCAGCTCCAGCCGATGCAGCCATTTGGGGAGAGATTCAGTGGACGGAAGACCTTTCTTTCTCTCTCCCTCTCACTGTAACCCTACCTCTCAAATAAATAAATCTTTAAAAAAAAAAGATTTATGACCAGTGCATTGGGGGTACAAAGACTTGGTCACTCACCAGAATTGTTTTCAGCCAAGTTTTTATGTAATAAAAATTTTTTTCTAAAGATTTATTTATTGAAAGGCAGATTTAGAGAGAGATAACTGATAACCTCCATCCACTGGTTCACTCCCTTGATTGCCGCAACAGTGAAGGCTAGGCTGGGCCAAAGCCAAGAGCTTCTTCCAGGTCTCCCATGCGGGTGCAGAGGCCCAAGCCCTTGGGCCATCTTCTCCTGCTTTCCCAGGCTCTTTAGGCAGGGAAGCCGGATTGAACGTGGAGCAACTGGGACATGAACCAGTGCCTGCATGAGCTGCAGGTGGTAAGTAGCTTATCCCGCAACACCACAGTGCCAGCCTCTGTGTGATAAGATTTTTATATGCTATTTATAGGATAAATTTGAGAATATAGATTCTATATTACTCTTTAAAATAAACTTTTAGAAACCACCATTCGTAAGTAAAATAACTCAGCCCTTTTTGCCATTTAGCTAAATTTATAAGGAAAAAATGATTCCCAATGGATATTTGATGTTTGAAGATGAAAATTTTATCGAGTCTTCTGTTGCCAAATTGAATGCCCTGAGGAAAAGTGGACAGTTCTGTGATGTTCGACTTCAGGTATTTTAAACTTCATTGGAAACTTATAGAATTGATCTTTTATTGTTAAGTTTTTGGATTTGCTTATTTTTTCCCTGTAGGCATTTAATGAAAGGACTTTTAAACAGAATGCTATACCTAGAAACGTAAGAGAATCTGGTATAATTAGCTAAAGCCATGTAGGTCCACATACTTCTGATTTTAATTCTTCATAATTTTAGGTCTGTGGCCATGAGATGTTAGCACACAGAGCAGTGCTGGCTTGCTGCAGCCCCTATTTATTTGAAATCTTTAATAGTGACAGTGATCCTCATGGAGTTTCTCATGTTAAATTTGATGATCTAAATCCGGAAGCCGTTGAAGTCTTGTTAAACTATGCCTACACTGCTCAGTAAGTACTTTGAAGTAAAGCATTTAATTAGGGAACATCATTAGGAAATTTCAAGTCTCTCTACACAGATTTAAGTATCTGTGCTTTAAGGCCTTGGTATCATGAAGAACTTTTTTTTTTTTTTTTTTTTAAATAGGTTGAAAGCTGATAAGGAATTAGTAAAAGATGTTTATTCTGCAGCAAAAAAGCTGAAAATGGATCGAGTAAAGCAGGTAGAGTATCAGAAGTCATAAACAAGGATCACTGTAACTAGACAGTCTGATTGTGTGTGATCTGAATGCAGAAGTTACCATAAAACGTTTCTTTAATCTCAAGAACTTGGACGTGTCCCTTTCACCCCAGAGAACAAGGTGCGTTGTTCTGTTTGGCTATAGTAGTAATGGAAAAGATCACACTTCTCTCAGAAAGGTAATTTGACTAAGTCTTGGTTTTTTAACAGTGTCTTTGGTGGGCTGGCTAAGTCAGTTTCTGACAGCATTATTACAGTATTCACCTGTTCTTCTATCTCAGTTCTTTGTTCTGCTGTACCTGGTGGTGGCTGTACTCCATCTAGAATTTGGCGCCAGTGAGAAGTGCTTAGTGGTTAATAGGGAAAAGGACGTTGGGTTGTCTGAGGCTGAGGGTCAGTGAACTGCAAGCCAGAGGCCAGCTGCTTGTTCCATCAAGTTTTATTGGAACTCAGCCTCATGTTTGTTCACATGTGATCACAGCTGCCTTCCAGCCACAGTAGACTTGAGTAGCGACAGGCGATACGGGGCCCACAAGCCTGAAATACTTACTGTCGGGTCTTTAAGAAAAAGTTTGGTATGCTGGTCCTTCCTGTGATGCTTCCCCGCCAAAAAAAAAAACCCTTGATTTACAGCATGTGCACCTGAGTTTCGTGTGCCAGGCCCTCCTGCTGTAGTTGTGGTGTCGTCAAAGTTGTTTCCCAGTTTTCTTTTGCTGCAGCCAAACTGAATTGCCTGCAGCATCTTCCCCACACTTGTCTGTGCCAGCATAGCCGTCATCTCTGCTGTAGAGCCCAGTTCTGGCACCGCCTCTCGGGAAGCCTCACCTTGTAGTTTCAGTTGGTCGCCTCACCGTTTGCCACTGTGTGGTTCCTACTGTTAAACTGGTTGTTTCAAGTGATTTTGATTCGTCTTTATATCTTGTGTAGTGTTTTCACATTGACGTCAAGTAGAACTTGTTGAATGACATTTATGTGAAGATTGACACCATGGTATTTTTCCGCTAAGGTTTGTGGTGATTATTTGCTGTCTAGAATGGATATAACCAGCTGCATCTCCTACCGAAATTTTGCAAGTTGTATGGGAGACTCCCGTTTGTTGAACAAGGTTGATGCTTACATTCAGGAGCATTTGTTACAAATTTCAGAAGAGGAGGAGTTTCTTAAACTTCCACGGCTAAAGGTAAGGGGTAAAAGTTTATAAATAGATGATGCCAGGTAGTTCTAGGCACAGAATCTTTGTCCATGCTTCAAGAAAATGAGTAATGGTTATGAAAACAATTTCTTGAAATTGTTATTCTTAGAGCAGTGGGCTTTGGTCTATTAGTTTATTTGCTTTTTAAAATTTTGGCTACTGGTTTAGTTACAGGTTAGACAGAATAAGCAATATGGAATGCAGTTGGGCATCTGTGACATGTTTGTTATGAAATTGAGAGCTGAGAACCAGAAGTTTCAACACTGATGTGTGTGTCATTTCTTTCCCCAACTTTAGTTGGAGGTGATGCTGGAAGATAATGTTTGCTTGCCCAGCAATGGCAAATTATATACAAAGGTAATCAACTGGGTGCAGCGTAGCATCTGGGAGAATGGAGACAGTCTGGAGGAGCTGATGGAAGAGGTTAGTTTTAAAGTAAATGGGATTCAACAATCCTTAAAAATTATTTTGCTATAACTTGAAGGATTCCCTTTAACTTTTATTTTATAACCATGACCCTAAAGAATTTAAATTTTGCTATAGGTACCCCTAAGCTGAGAAACAGGGGGGGTGTCCAGGTGAGCTGAATGAACTGTTCAGTTTGGTCTTCTGCTTTTCTTTTTTTATTTCTTTGCTTATTATGTGCTGTTAACTTCCTTTAAAGTGGCATGTAATTTGCTTTAGAAATGGGAGGTGGTACTGAGATTTTCTGTAGATTCTTGATTTTTCTTCACAGGTTTTTGCTTTTAATTTGACAAGTAGGTAAAAGCTTCTAATGGTTGTTCCTCCCCATTGATTTATCTCCCCATAGGTTTATTAACAAAACTAGGATACCCAAGACTGAAGAAGCCAGAAGAAACCTCAAGTGTATTGACACGTAAAGAAGCAGCAGTCCTGCCCCAGTTCTCCTAAGAAAAACCGCTGTGGGCAGAGAACGATGATGATTTAACGGTGTTTACTCCTTTACAGGGTTCTTATCTTTAAAGCTTTGTGTCTTTTTCACTGGTGTTGTTCACACGTACACTCACTCACTTAATTTGGGCTACTTTTAAAAACACATAAGAGAAACAAAATTGATGGAGAAATGGTGGGAATTAAAAATACACAGGTGGAGCAGTGGAGTGACAGTGAGTTTCATCCACATGACCCTCTCAGCTGCAGACTTGCTGGATCTGTTAGGCCTAGGGAAACAGTGTCGTCCTTGTGTTCTGCTTCGTAAGTCCTGTATGATTTCCCACTGGAAAATCAGATACATTAGCCGTGTATTAGCATCTGCCGAGGGAGATACCTCCACAGCTTGCTTGAATTTTTGCATTTGTTTTTCTTAGTTTTTCTTAACATTGTCTACAGGAGAGAGATGTTTATGCACATCAGACCATTTATCTTCAAAGGTGTAAACTATATTCAGTATTTTGTTGTAAATATGTGTATTCCTTGAGTGCATATGTTGTTGTACTAGTACCTGTTTTCTTAATGTTGGAGAGTAGAAATTATGAAAAATTGAAGATTTCTTTGAAGCCAGTCCATCCAAGGAGTTCAACCAGTAGTAGATTTTGTATATGATTTGGGGTTTTTGTTTTTGCTTTTTAAATTTTTACCACCATGATGTACATTTTTCTTTACTGCGGGATCCTGCCAGAGTAAGCTGTCAAGGAGCACAAGCAGCACGGGAGGTTGCCGTGAGGCGTTTGTGTGATCTGCGTACAGTGGAGTAGCCGTGGTGACAGTAGCCACATGGGTGTTCTGTTGCTGTTTTGCAGGTTCAAACCTTGTACTACTCAGCTGATCACAAGCTGCTTGATGGGAACCTTCTAGATGGACAGGCTGAGGTGTTTGGCAGTGATGATGACCACATTCAGTTTGTGCAGGTACACATTGCACAGTCTGAGGTAACCTCAGGGTCAAGTTTGGCTAGAGAATTCTATAGCTTATAAATTTTCCTTTAATAAAGGAAACTAGATGAAGTTCATTGATATAACTGTACAGAAATATTTTTGGGAGAAAACCAGCATATTTTAGGTTTCCTGGCATTTTTGCCTTATGAGAAGAAATTAGGAAACTCCATTTAGTATTTTTTTTTATCATAAAGTAGAATTTACAGCTAGGAAGGGCCAATAAGATGAAACAATGTAAAAAATATTTGTTATTTTGGTTACATTACCAGAAATAGTTGTGTGCAGTAGACGTGACTAATGGACCCAATTTAAAGGTACATGGGGGGGGTGCTTACATTGTTGACAGCTCTCTGAAAAAAGGTTTTTTGGGATGTTTAATTACCTAGCAATCTCATAACTTGAATTAGAAATGGTATAGTTAAGACCGCACAATGTTAAAAACTTGAGAGGTTAATCACAAGTTACAAAGTTGAAAGTGATTGAGCAAAATAAATTTCAAAAAGCACCGATGTGTTGATTGAGTTACCCTGCCTTTTATGAAAGCCATTTTGACTATCCCCCATGTCTTTATTGGGGAAATCGTACTTATACGTGATCACTAACTGATAGAGAACAGATATCGCAGCTAGCTTACAGACAAGTAACATCCGGAAGGCACACAGATTGGAAGTGTCACACGGTGCAGACCCATGTAGAACTGCCCAGGTCAAGACAGGTTTCAGCATCCTGGAAGCCTTTCTTTTGCCCTCTCCCCATCACTGCTCCTAACTTGTTGACATAATCAGTCGGTTTGCTTGTCTGTAAAATCTACAAATGGTCATGAAGTGCGTGTGCTTTTTACGTGGTCTTTAGCTCAACCTTGTTTCTGTGAGAGAGAAGCTGTAAAGTAGTCTGAATCCACCCAGATTAAGGATTGTTGTCCTCAAAACCGGAGAGGGTAAATGGTAGTCAGTGGTAACCCGGATAGATGGTCATCTGAGCAGATGTTAGCTCTGTCTAGTCCATTGGCAGTAGTAAGTGGTTATGTTTACTTTTGAAAACTAAGATAAACTAGTTTGAGAACTTTGTGTCTTGAATATTTAGGTATTTCCCCTCTTACTGTAAACATTTAAAATTAGCATTTTGTAGAGTACCTTTTTCAACAAGCAAAGATGGCCCAGTAAGTGGCAGGCTGTGGTCCTTGGCATGGAGCCTCAAGAGTGGGGAAGAGGCAGTTTCTGCTTGCTGGGCCGGGTAAGAGTGGGCAGAACTGTGCCGACTTGTCTGACCTGTCTGCCTGAAGCCTGAAGGGGAGAATGCCGCAGAGGCGAAGCTGACATGCTGTGGGAATGTCTCCAAGGAGGCACTAGGCGAGCAGTCTTGGGATTACAGGAGTTCACGTGGCAGGCAGAGGGAGCGTGCGATGCACGCTGGGGACTGCGGGTCCCAAGACTGGGCAGGTGGGTAGATGCCGTCTGAGTGAGACTTCGGCAGTGGAAAGCTTTCACTGAGGTTTAGATGACTGAGTGATGCAAACAGATAGGTTTCAAAGCTAGTGATGAAAAACAGTAAGGGGTTGGAGACCCAAGGATTCATTAATGGTCATATTTTAGACAAATGGTTACCTATTAGGTGGCAGTCTCTGGACATTGGGATCCCAACTGATTTGTGTCTGACTTTCCAGCATTGCTACCTTGGACCATTCCTGTTTTCATAAGCAGGCACATGTGATAGATTAGAACTTGGGAGACTGGTTTGTAAACTGTTGCAGGCAGTAGTTCAGGTTTAAAAAAATTAAAGAGGGCTTAATCTAAAGGCATGAAGACCAAGATAAATTCTTTATAGACACTGGTAGGTGGATACTTCAAAAAGTACATAGAAAATGAAAATATAAAAGAAGTTTATTTTGGTATAAAAATTTTGAAATTCATGCATCGTTTTCCATAATACACACTTTTTTGTGATACAGAGGATAAGTAGGCCTCAGCGATTGCTCAGGAGGATTAAAGGAAAGGGAAGGTTGGGAGAAGGAGTGGGATTCTGACGTGTGACGAGATCACGAAGGTAAAAGGCTACAGAGACATTAGGCCTCAGGAATAGGAAAAGGAGGCTGAGCAGAAGCTGTTAAGGATGTAGGACGACAGTTAGAATCTGATGTCATAAAAGCTACCTAAAGTAGAAGGAGGGCAAACTGTAAACTCCCAGGTCCACCTCGGGGAGGCTGTGTAATGAAAGAAGGGAACTGGTAACTCTGATAATTCTTTAATGGATTAAAGAGTTAACCTGCATTTTTGTTACCATGGCTGAATGCTGTAGCCCCTTTCACATTCATTTCCTCTTGTTTGTAGTTCATACAGGAGAGAATTTATTTTACTTTTAAATCTGAAAGGCAGAGAAAGGGAGCTTCCATTCCTTGGCATTCCCAAATGCTGAAACAGCAGGAGCTGGGTCAGGCGGGTGTCCAGGTCTCCTGTGTGGGTGTCAAGGCATGCATTAGCAGGAAGCAGGAGCTGGAGGCAGAACCAGACCTTGAACGTCACGTACCACTGTGTGATGTGGGTGTCTTACTGCTGCACCCAACTCCTGACTCACAAGTTTTCTTAAACAGTAAAATCTCTTAACATAAGCCTTGTCCTTAGTGCTAGTCTGGACCCCTTACCACAGATTGCAATGGGATCTTCTGCATCTTGTAATTCCTAATAGCAGAAAAGGTTAGCTTTCTGATGACTTGCAACTTGTCACAGTGTAGAGTGGGCTTTGTTCTCCGAATTCCCAATGTTTATTTTATCCCAGTTATCTTGGGAAGTGCATACACGTGTTAATCTGTAAGATGGTACAAACTGCCGCGCTCACTGATCCCGGGGGTGATGTGAATGAAGTGCCTGATGGCGCTGAAAGTCTAAGTGGAGCCCAGTGACCACCAGGGGCGTGACCTGTCCCCTTTTCAGGACGTGCTTGCTGAACTACCTGGACTTCACTGTTGTGGACATTTTTCTAACAGCTTCTAGTTGCTACCAAGACCTTTTACTTGTTATGTGGCTTTTTGTTTCTAGTGGCAACAGGAATTTCCATTACAAATCTTAGTAATTTGTGTGGTTTGGCCTTGGGGACCAGAGTAAGTTGCATGAGCAGACTTTGCCGGGTACTGAAGGTGTTCATTTGGCAGTTCCTCTGAGCAGTCCTGATTCTTCACATTGCACATGCCATGTCCGTGAGAAGTGGCCAGGGCTGACATGATTGGAAGAAAGCCACAGAAGGAAACGAGGGCATGTGTCTGTGGTTCCTTGACAGTGGTGTGGGAATTGGCAGTGTTGCCCCATTTCTCCCTCTTAGCATTCCTGTGTACTCCAGCTTTATGAATATTTGGTTCTTTTAGTATTAGTATTGTTTCATTTCTGATTACTATTTTTGTTATTGTGTTTGTATTTTTTCTTAGAAAACTACTCCATAATATCTTTAAGGCAGCCCGAAAGATAACAAAGTTTAAATGTTTCTTGGAATTGCCACTGCTTTATAAAACCTGTGCTCACTGGCTGGCATTATGTAAAGGATACACAATATTCTAACAGTTTCTTGGAGACAGTTAAATATGTTCTCCCATTTAGAATTTATAATGTCTGTTGGAAGATTCTGTACTTGAAAAATATACGTGAACTAGGTGGAGTATATAGGTGATTTTTTTTCCTTCCCCTCACTTCTCGTTTATGGAAGGATTCTGATACTTGAACTGCAGCGTCAGGCTGAGCTTGGTTTCTGCCCAGGCCAGCTGTGCCGCTGTAGTTCCTTCACTTTGAAATGGAGATGGAAGTAGGCCCGTGGTTTCTGTCCGTTGGACAGTGTTGCTTTCTGTGAAGCGTAGTGATGGCTTGGTGTGTGCAGGGATGTCGAATAGCTCAGGTACGGAGGTGCACCAGCTGTAGCCTCTGGCTAGGTGTCTGTAGCTGCCTTTTGGTTTTGCAGAAGAAGCCACCACGTGAGAATGGCCACAAGCAAATCAGTGGCAGCTCCACTGGATGTCTGTCTGCTCCCAGTGCTGCCACGCAAAGCCCTAAGCATGAGTGGAAAATCGTTGCTTCGGAAAAGACTTCGAGTAAGTAAATGACTCTTGTCAAATTATCTTCAGTGGTCTATTTTTAAGGAGTGCTGTCCATTTAATACCTGGAATGGACTATTTCAGGAGAGAAACTCAAAAGCAGTCAAATTTGAAAAATAGATTGTTCCAGTGTAGGAACTAAAGACTGGAATCCAGTTCGGGATCTTACAGGAACCAGAATTAGTGATAATTGCATCTTAAACGTGGAACTCTTATACTTGCAGATAACACTTACTTGTGCCTGGCTGTGCTGGATGGTATATTCTGTGTTATTTTCCTTCACGGGCGAAACAGCCCACAGAGCTCACCAACAAGTACTCCAAAGCTAACTAAGAGTTTAAGTTTTGAGATGCAACCAGATGAGCTAATAGAAAAGCCTATGTCTCCTATGCAGTACGCACGATCTGGTCTGGGGACAGCAGAGATGAATGGCAAACTCATAGCTGCAGGTAAGAACAGACCCGTTGGAGGTCCATCAGAAGCAGTAACTGGCTAGGCCCGCAAATGGGCATCCACCCTTGCTTGTGGCATGCAAACTCTGGAAGACAGGTGATGCCTTCTCCCGTGGCATCCCAGTGAAACAGAGCAGCCTCTAAAGGGTATCGAGCTTACATAAGATGCAGGTCAATGTCTGATTCTGGTTTTCAGACAATTAAAAGTGGGTCCATTTTTCTCTCAATTCAAGTGATTTAGTCCCTGATACTGTTGTTCTTCAACTGTTACATGTAGATAAACCATCAACCTCTGGGCCCTTCCAATTTTTTGATACTTTTTTTCTTGGAGTGCAGATGATTTAAGCCATTCTGGACTGGAAACCCTGGTCCAGTTTGTGATCTTAGACACCTTTTTGCGATTCTGGTTCTAGGTGGTTATAACAGAGAGGAATGTCTTCGGACCGTTGAATGCTATGATCCACATACAGATCGTTGGTCCTTCCTTGCTCCCATGAGAACACCACGAGCTCGATTTCAGATGGCTGTACTCACGGTAAGCGCACTGCATTGCAGAAGCAACCCATGTTTAGCTGCTTTTCAGAGCCTACCTGAGAAAGGTGGAAATTCTCACGTCTCACCTTGGCACAGGGCCAGCTCTACGTGGTGGGTGGGTCGAATGGCCACTCCGATGACCTGAGTTGTGGAGAGATGTATGACCCAAACATAGATGACTGGACTCCTGTTCCAGAGTTAAGAACTAACCGTTGCAATGCAGGTAATGATACTTTCCTTACGGAGACAGCCAGCATGCCAAGAGGACAGTTGGATTAACCATATGATCACATTTTGTGTTTACATAGGAGTGTGTGCTCTCGATGGAAAGTTATATATCATTGGTGGCTCTGATCCATATGGCCAAAAAGGACTGAAAAATTGTGATGTCTTTGACCCTGTAACAAAGTTGTGGACAAGCTGTGCTCCTCTTAACATTCGTAAGTTTTTTTTTTGGGGGGGGGGGGGTAAGACCCGGGGATCAACCATCGGTGTGGTAAATACTTAACATTTTGGGGAGGTGTTATATTGTTATTAAGTTTGACTTGATTTTATAGGTAGACACCAGTCTGCAGTCTGTGAGCTTGGAGGTTATTTGTATATAATCGGAGGTGCAGAGTCTTGGAATTGTCTGAACACAGTAGAACGTTACAATCCTGAAAATAATACCTGGACTTTAATTGCACCCATGAATGTGGCGAGGCGGGGAGCTGGAGTAGCTGTTCTGGAGGGTGAGTTGGGGATTTGGAGAGGTGAAGAGCCAGGTAGTGGCAAGAGTCTGCTGGGTGACAGTAAGCCTACACCGGTTTAACTGAGAATTCAGAAGCGGCCATCTGGGTGCAGTGGGTATTGCTCTTAGAAATTGTCTTTTCTAATCAGACACTCATAGTAGTTGATCCGTGAAAGTATTCACCGAGCTTAATCAAGTCCGAAGTCACTGTCTTCCATAAAACATATCCACAATGCATCATCTTGGGTTTGAGTTTCCCTTTCTTCAAAGCTAGAACATAAGAATTTTATTTGCAAAATAAAGTAAATGGAAATTCTTAGTCTTTTCCCATTATCTACTCCATTCCTTAACTATAAGTAGAACCCTTAGACTATTTTAATAAGTCTTCCAAAGTACTAAACATTTTTATTAATTCCTAATGCAAATTGCATTGCTTCTGGAACAATAGTTAGCTGGTGAAAGCTTCAGTGTGTAGACCCAGTAGCAAGCAGTGCACTCGTCGGGAGCCTTAAGTCTTTATACTGCTGGAAAACCTGAGAAGTTCTTCAGTTACCTGCCCTGCTTTCCTATAACTTCCTTTGAGAGACTCAAATAGAAAATTCCAGTGCAGAAAACAGGACTTGTCACAGCAGTTGCGTTGTTAGGCAGATTGCCAGTTCTGCATCTTGTTCCTACAGAGTAGGGAACTGAGGTAGGATCACACGTACCTATTTAGGTGGTGCTGCTGCTGCCCGCACCCTACTCCCACGTAAGTTTTCCTAAGTTCTGAGTGGGAATTGGTTTTTATTGGTTTTGTTCATGTACCCAGCTTCTAATGTGCTTGCCACAATAGTAGACATTTAGCAAGGACACTTTTTTTTTTTTTAAGCAAGACAGACCTAGAGGGTTACTCCTTGTTGCATAGACCTCTAGACTGACCATCTTGTTTCTTTTCTAGGAAAACTGTTTGTCGGTGGTGGCTTTGATGGTTCTCATGCCATCAGCTGTGTGGAGATGTATGATCCGGCCAGAAACGAGTGGAAGATGATGGGAAACATGACTTCACCAAGGAGCAACGCTGGGATCGCAACTGTGGGAAACACCATTTATGCAGTGGGAGGGTTTGATGGCAATGAGTTTCTGAATACGGTGGAAGTCTACAATCTCGAGGCAAATGAGTGGAGCCCCTATACAAAGATCTTCCAGTTTTAACAAACCCTCTGAAACTAACAGGCTTAGTGATGTAATTGTGTTCAGTAGAGGCACATTTGTGAATAAGGAGGGTGGGTGGGAACGGACGTTGCTGAAGGCAACACAGAGCTTTTGCATATTGCATACTTTAGCCATGCTGGACATACTTTTCATCGGAAAGGAGTGCAGAGATGAAGATCTGTTTCGTGTATTTTTAAGATTTCTTTGGTTGTTTTACTTACTGGAAGTTGATACTGTAAAAAGAATAAACCGAGAATTGATTGGGCACATCTTTTCAAGTCCCCTCCACGTTGGTTTTGCCGGCTTGTGCACTTTGACTCATAAGCTCTGTATTATGGGATAGTGGGGGTAGGGTTTAAAGCTGTAAGCAGGGTTTTTTAAAGGGCCCTTTTTCAATAACTGGAACACTCTAACAAATACTTATTTAACTAGATGACAGTAAATATTTTTGTTCTCATTAAAGGAAAGTTGACATGCCTATCAAATATTTAATCCTTTATTGTCGCCTTTTTGTAGCTTTTCATATTCTCGGCAGAGTGTTGAGGTACAATGTGGTAAATCGAGCTCACTGGACGAGCATGGGACTGAGGCATTTCTTTTAAATACCCAAAATACAGGCTTTGCCTCGGCAGTCATTTTTTTTTCTTTTTTGAGAATGCAGTGCTGGGGTATTTGAATGGAATTGCTAAACAGTGCATAGCTGTGAGGCTGATGTGTGAAACACTGGTTTGAATTACGGCTTGTTGAGAGTATATTTTATATAGCAATACATTTAATACTTGGTAGTTAACAACAGTGAAGTACTTTGTCTTCTGATAATTCCCGTTTTCTTCTTTTGTCATTGGCAATACAGTCCTGAATGGTAGCTCTCGGTTGTGAAAGAAATCACTTTAAGCTGTCCTGGGTTTGTGAATGGAGCCTTTATTTATCAGAACTGTGGGGTAAATCTGGGTGGGATGCCTTGGTGTCTCGTGCGGGTGCTGTGCACCTACTTCAGGGCACTGCAGTGACGGCGTCCTTCATGCTTGCTGCTGGCCCACACACATTAAAGGTGTCTTGCAAGAAATGCACCATGGGAGTAATGTCCAAATGTTGTTTGTGTACTCGTTAACTAAGAAGGTCATTGAGCAGCGTTTCCAGTAACAATGAGCTTGTAACACATTGGAGAAGTGCTCACCTGGGGTGCTGCGAGAGGTGAAGCACACGGGCACCTCCTGGGCCAGTGGGATGAGCTGACACTGGCTAACCTGTTTTCCCCTCTCCTAATGTTCCATTGGGACTTGGCCTCTTCTTTCATGGGTTCAAAGAACAACCAGACAGGGAAGTCAGTTTACTGTGTAGGGCCTGACCATCTATCCCTCTTAACTCTGAACCAAGACTAATAGGACCTTTTTATATGATCTGTATGTGTTCAATTCAGCACAAGAAAATAATAGTTGAGGATCTCAACACTAAAATCTTTGAAGTCACTTCTCATTTCCTGACTTGCTGAAGTGTCCCCTGGGATATCTGGTGCCACTGATGCCAGACCATTGATGTGGTGGCTGAGAGATGGCATTGTTAGGAAATCAGTCTCCACCAACACGAGTGTCCATGCAGGAGGAAAGTGGAGTCATCACACACCGGTCACCCCTAGGCATGGCTAACTAAAGGTACCTGTTTTCTTCTGGGAGGCGGAAAGGGCATGGCCTCATAAAACTTTTAAACCATTATTAATGTTGGGATAGTTTAGAAGTGATATTTGTAATACCACAACTTGATAGCACTTGTGTTTAAAACAAAATACTTCTATACTGCAGTTCAACTAAAATGTCTGCTTCTAATTGAGTAATTGGTAATACGTAGGCATGAGTTTTATTTGGCTTGGTAGTGTTCTCATTTTTGGCTTCTGAGGTATGAGGATACCTGAAAGGTTGGGGAAAATGGAAAAGCTTTCATTCAAGAATTTTTGAGGTCACGCACATGATGATCGGTCTTGGAGATGTGTATCATGAAAACTGCAGAGGTTTCAAGATTTTCTTGCATCTATTTTTTAAAAGAAATTTATTCCGTTTCTTTACTTTTTTAAGGATTTTATTTATTTGACAGAGCTACAGGGAGAGGTCTTCCATCCACTGGTTTACTCCCCAGATGGCTGCAACAGCTGAAGCTGTGCCGATCAGAAGCCAGGAGCTTTTTCCAGGTTCCCACGCCAGTGCAGGGGCCCGAAGACGTGGCCCATCTTATACTGCTATCCTGGCCATAGCAGCTGGATCGGAAGCAAAGCAGCTGGGATTAGAACCGGCACCCATGTGGATGCCGGTGCTTCAGGCAAGGACATTAAACCACTGCGCCACAGCGCCAGCCCCTATCTGTTCACTTCTGAAATTCCTATAGTGCCAGGGCTGGCGGCCTGGAAATTGTCAGGAGATGGAGGTGGGTATCAGACTAGGGGAAGCAGGCATCTGCTGATGCCTGTGAATGCCTGTCCCTCTCCACTTTGAAAGTACCCTTGCATGCTTGACCTTTGCTTATTTTAAGAAAAACATCTGGTTTGGGGGCGTGATAGAGCACTGGTTCACTCCCCAAATGACCGCAACGGCCAGAGCTGGGCTGATCGGGAGCCAGGAGCTTCTTCAGGTCTCCCACATGGGTGCAGGGCCCATGGACTTCAACCATCTTCTTTCCCAGGCCAGGGCTGCCACAAAGCAAGCCCCTAGAATCCTTTATGGAATTTAATCTCTAAGACATCAGAATTCCTCTAGGCAAAGAAGAAATATTCTCAACAGAACATTCAAGAGCGCGGGAGTCCTGAAAAATCCAGTCTCCAGTCCTAGTCATTCATTGTATCCTACTTCGTCCTCCACCCCAGCCCCCAAAGTTGTCTTTGAAAAAAAGATACAAGGCAAAGGGGCTGGTGCTGCGGGGTAGCAGGTAAAGCCACTGCCTGCAGTCCTGGCATCCCACAGGGATCCCACAAGTCCTGGCCGACCCTCTTCCAGTCCAGCTCTCTGCTGTGGCCTGGGAAAGCAGGAGAAGATGGCCTGCTTAGGAGACCCAGAGGAAGCTCCAGGCTCCTGGTTTCGGATCGGCCCAGCTCCAGCCGTTGTGGCCATTTGGGGAGTGAACCAGCGGATGGAAGGCCTGTCTCTCTCTCTAATTCTGCCTTTCAAATAAAAGATACAAGGTAAGTTAACTGAAAACACCAATATGAACTTTAAAAATACTTGATAAGGGATGCCACAAATTTTGGGCAGGCCTTGCAAACAAGAGCTGATTAAATCAGTACATCAGTAGATAAAACATCTACCTCTCTGTTGCTCATTCTAATATTTTTTAAAAAGTAATTGCTCTGAAATACAAATAGCCCATGTAATAAGACCAGAAATTTCAAAAGGATCTTGTGATACACGTAGTAAAAAGAATTGGGGGGGGAGGGGGCGGCACGCGTGAATCTGCTAGCATGATAACCAGTGAAATGCTGGACTTTGAGTAGCTGCACCAGTGCTGGCTGGAGAGACAAGCGCTCCATCAGTGGGCTGAGGATGCCAAGTTTGCATTTTGTGAAAACAGGACAAACTAAAGGGAACTTGCGCTTGGTCAGTGGCTGCTGTGTACTTCCAACCACCTGCATGGTCCCCCTCCCAGGTCCTGACAGTCCTCCTGTATAGACAAGCATTTAATCATCTTTCTCTTAACCAAAAGGAAACCAAGTCTTTTAACGGTACAAGCTTGAAAAATAACCCATGAAGGATTCACAAAACTCTGGAAACAACACTGCAGGGTTTTTCTGGAGCTTCTTCCGGGTCTCCCACGTGGGTGCAGGAGCCCATGCACTTGGGCCATCCCTCACTGCTTTCCCAGGCCATTAGCAAAGAGCTGGATTGGAAGAGGAGCAAACCAGTGCCCATATGGGATGCGGGTGTCACATGTGGCTTAACCCACTATGTCACAACACTAGCCCTAGCACTTCAGCTCTTAAAAATGTGCAAAGACACTTTCCCAAAGAAGATAAATTGATGCCAACAGGAACATGAAAAGATGCTCACTCTGATAAAGCATTAAGAAAATGTAAATTAAAATTCTATTAAGAATTTTATGGGCGCCAGTTGGAGGCCCGGCTGCTCCACTTCCAGTGCAGCTCTCTGCTGTGGCCTGGGAAAGCAGAAGATGGCCGAAGTCCTTGGGCTCCAGGCTTCAGATTAGTGCAGCTCTGGCTGTTGTGGCCAACTGGGGAGTGAACCAGTGGATGGAAGACCTCTCTGCCTCTCCTACTCTCTGTAACTCTTTCAAATAAATAAAATTTTCAAAAAAATTTATTAAGATGCAGAGCAACTAGAATTCATCAGTTGCTGGGTAAGCAGCACAACTGTGTAGGCACGTTGAGAAAAGTCTGGCAGCTTCTAACACCCTGTGACAAGCAGTCCCAGTCGCAGGTACTTGCCCAGGTGGAACGTGTTCACAGAAACCTGTGTTGTGAATACAGCACTTCATTCATCATCACCAGAGACAAATCGCTGAAGTAGCGCCTCACTGCGAGTGTGTAAGTTGGTCCACAGACCTGGTAACACTGGCTGGGCTCAGGGTCAAGCTAAGGGAAAGGCTTGGGAGGCTCCGCTGATGGGTTTTCTTGGAAAAGGGACACAATCTAGCTTCCCAAGGTAACTACAACGGGACAAGTAGGAACTTGTAGGGATGATGGGACCTATGAAACAACAGTTTTATAAATCAAAATTACCTCGCCTGTAAAGGAGGCAGCTTGAGAGGGTCTTAGTGAGGCAGCTGTCCTCACTGACCTGAGGAACAGGACAGTGAGACGAGGCTACTAGGCTGCGAGCTGGTAGGGATCCACCTACCTCCTCCACATCTGTACGCTGGTACTTCATGGAAATGTATCCTCAATGCTTCTGACGTCCAGAATTTGAGGCAAAATGCATCCAATTTACAAACAAAACTAAGAACAGCATAAAAAGATTCCTATCACAGGACAATTTCCAAATCTGAGGAGAGCAGTGGTGGCTGCAGGTTGCTAAACGCCAGGAGGAATAGGAACAGTGACAGCTAGGCTCTGAAGGTCACCAAGACACCCGCCCTGTAAACCTGGCCTCACCCTGAAAGGACCTCTGTTCTTCCTAAGAAAACATCTAAGATAGCAAGAAAATTGAGCTTTGGATCTGTCTTGTGTGGTGTTTCATGTGACAAAGACCTACGACGTGGAAGTCCTAACAAGATGACTCGGGCCCAAGAGACCTCAATTCTTAGCCAGCTTCTCCTTGGCCCAGGACACA